TTTTTTTTTTTACGTTTGATTAGGTTTTTTCAATTTCTTTGGATTTATTAATTATTTTGAGTTTTTTTCCTGTTCTTTTGTTTAAAAATTGATTAGGGATTTATGAAGTAATTAGCAATGAATGTTCTATCGGGGATTCGTAAGAAAGACATTTTTTGATAACTAGAGGCTGTGGTGGAAGGTGGGCCTCAATTTCTTCGATAGCCGTGGGTGTGATTTTTTTCATCTTCAAATTTAGCAACTTATAAGAAAATTTTATGTAACTAATGTTTGACATAAATTTTTTTTTTAACACATACGCTATTACGTAGTCAACTACATCATGGCACGTGCCTTGCACGTGTTTCTCACTATTACTTCAAAGAAGAAGTTTTTGAATTAAAAATGGTCAACTATATTTACCCTAACATGCTAAATATGCATAAACAATAGAAGTTTTTATTATTTATCACCTCAAAAATATAATTGTAAAGACGAGGCCATCAATTGAGTTTTCAGTTAATTCTAAATTTCCGTACTTTTGATCTTCAATTCAGAGCTATAAATTTTCAAGCTTTTGACATTTGTTGTATTGTAACTAGTGGTGGCAATCGAGTTGAGCGGCTCGTGAAAAACAAGCCACGAGTCACTCGGGCTCGTCAAAAGACGAGCCCGAGCCTAGTGAGCCAACTTGCTCGGCTCGTTTTCTAGGCGACGAGCCCACAAGTCTGGCTCGTGGACTCGTTTAATAGATAACCCACGAACCGGCTCGGCTCGTAGCTCGTATAAAAAAAAATAATAATAAAAAAGAAAAATTTCAGTGACCAGAACGATCACTAAACAAAATTCAGTGACCGTTCTGGTCACTGAATTTTTATTTATTTAATTTTTTCAATTCCATTTTTTCCCTATAAATACCCTTCCATTAATCCATTTTTCTCCACCCAACTATCAATTTCTCATTCTCTACTCTCTAAATTTCTAATATCTTGATTATCTTCTACATTTTATATTATTGAGTTATGATCTTGATTTTACAATCTATTTTCTACACTACTACATAATCTATATTCATTTCTCATTTTTACTTCAACATTCAATATTAATTATTCAATACCAATTATCTCATTACAAATTTCCAATTCACAAATGGATGTGGCCACGCTCATTTGTTAAAAACTTGTTCGGTGTCGGAAGCGAATCACCTGTCATGCCCCACAGTCAATTTCAGAATGAATTCGCCGGTCTAAATGAATTACCTATTCCAGAAAATATTTCAAATTTCGATGCTCTTGGAAGTAGTAATCCAATTGATTTGGATGACGTTGATGTTTTAGAGGCGGAACAGGATGATGAACCTGTATTAGATATTCCCGATACAAGAGGGAAGAGAAAGGGGAAAAAACAGACAAAATGTTAAGACCATTTTAAATTGGTTCAAACTGGTCGTGTGGTTGATGGACTTCCAGAATCCAAAATAGTATGTAAATACTGTCAACAACGATTGGCATGGTAAAAAGGTATTGTAACCACCCACCTCCCCCTTTCAAAACATGTACAGCCAAACATGGGCTTCTTCCTGCTGGTTAAACGCAACTACAATTTGGTAGTTCAGGCACCAGTGCTACTACTATGTCACTTTCTACGTGGATGTATTCGGATGAGAAAGATCGAACGGGAATGGTGAAGTTCGTTGCCGCAACTGAGTTGCCTCTAGCAATAGCGGACAACCAACATTTCGTCTCTTACGTGAAAGAATATCTTCAACCGAGGTACGTTACGATAAGTCGAAATACTCTTCGTTCTGATACAATAGAACATTTCCTTAATTCAAAGAAACAATTGATTGCCGATTTACAAAAAATATGGGGGTATTATATGTTTAACTTCGAATATATGTGAAGAGATTAATAAAAGAGGTTATATAGTTGCAACTCCACACTACATAGACCCACTTTGGTGTATGCATAAAAAAATTATAGTTTTTAAAATTATTGAGTTCCCTCACAACGCTAACAACATGTTTAATGCTATTATGAACATTGTTAAAGAATATCATTGCGAGAGTAAAATTCATTCATTTACGTTCGATAACGCTAGTGTAAATAAGGTAGTTATCGATAAATTGTATAGAATACTGCAACCCAATTTCGGTGGTTGTTTCATATTCGATGTGTATGCCCGGTTTAAAACATATTAAGGATGAAATTCAACGAATTAGGAATGGACTAGTTTATATCACGATTTCACATAGTAGAAAACAAGCATTTGAAAAATTTTGTGCCGAAACTGGGGTGACGCATACGAAAACATTTATTAGTGACGTAGGGTATAGATAGAACTCCACTTACTTATTATTAAAATCATGTTAATATTTTGAACATTTAATAACTGAATTTTATAACAATTCTATATTAGAGACGAAGACGATACTATTTTGAATGACTCTGATTAGAGTTTAGCTTTTAAAATTAAAAAAAATTTGACAAGTTTTTATAATTCTACAAATATTTTGTCTGATATTTATTATCTCACTAATTGTATGGTCTTTGAACATCTTTATATAATTGTTAAGACTTTTCATAGATATAAAAATGACCCAAATTTTAGTTCAATTATATATTCCATAGAATTAAAGTTTAGAAAATATTGAAAAGACTTGCCTATATTATTTCCGTTAGCATGCATCATGGACCCCCCGATATAATTTATAGATCCCGATTTTGAAGCGGTTATATATTCGATGGAAGTAAAATTTAGAAAATATTGGGAAGAATTGCCTATGTTATTTCCTTTAGCATGCGTCATGGACCCCCGATATAATTTATCGGGTACTAAATTTGTAATTGATCAAATTTCAAGAGCTTTGACTTTTAATGTACCTATCACTTATAGAAATTTGAAACAAATTTTATGTGAAATGTATGAATTATATGCTGAACGAATGGGTACACATATTAATCGGTACCCTCCGGCTCTACATCTACTTTTCAAACTAAAATAGGAGATGGCGACGTTGAAGTTTTAAATTTATTTGAAAACATTAACTCATATAGATATGATTCAACTGCATCTACATGTGGTTCCTCTAGTACTAGTAGTAATTTGCCTTCCACTGCATATAATCAAACATCAAGCGCAAGTCCAAATGCGTTGCATGCTGAATTAATTGATTACTTTAATCATAATATGCCTAATAACAAAACAATTAAGAAAAGTTCAGAAGAAGTAATTGAATTCTGGTGAAGGTATGAACGTCGATGGCCAGTGGTTTCTGCGATGGCAAAATATCTACTAACACCTCCAGTTAGCACTTTAGTTTCGGAACTTGCTTTTAGTGCAGGTAAGAGGGTTCTC